TATTGACGTCATTAATGTACAGCAGTAACAGAAATGGCTCAAGATGGCTACCTTGGGGAACGCCGGATGTCACGGGGAAGGATGAAGAAACATAGTCTCCAATCTTGACAGACATGTTTCGACCAGTCAGGTAGGAGTAGAGCCAAGTAAGCAGGCCATCGTGAACACCTAGCCTGTCGTATTTAGCCAACGCAATGTCATGGTTCATTTTGTCAAATGTTGCGGAGAGGTCTGTGTAAAGGGCGAACACGAAATTATTGCGACACCGAAAATGTCATGCCAATTTTCTTATAATGTTTAGAATCAAACCAAAATTTTAGGGTAGTTTTATACATATATTTACTTCAAAAATCAAAAGAAAAGTTAATCGATGGAGCCTTGAGTGTAAAATTGAACGCATTTTCGCTTGATGCCCTCCATCAAAGTCTTTACCGTGTCATCCGGTACCAGTTTCTCAGTTTTTTTTCCATTTTCTTCTCGTCTTTGACTGTCTTCTTGCTCTTCCGAAGTTCCCGCTTCATTATTGCCCAGTACTGCTCCACCGGGCGCAGCTCCGGACAGTTTGGCGGATTCATGTCCTTTGGAACAAAATGGACAGAATTGGCCTCATACCACTCCAGGACACTTTTAGAATAGTGGCATGATGCCAAATCTGGCCAAAATAGCGGAGCTTCGTCGTGCTGCTGCAAGAACGGCAAAAGGCGCTTCTCGAGGCACTCAGATTTGTAGATCTCGCCATTTACTGTGCCCTTTGTCACGAAACGCTCACTCCTCAGTCCGCAAGAGCAGATGGCCTGCCAAATGAGATATTTGGAGGCGAATTTCGACATTTTCTTCTTCTTAAATTTGTCGTCCACATCGAACTTGCTCTTGCCGGTGAAAAACTCCAACCCCGGAATTTGCTTAAAATCGGCTTTTATATACGTTTCGTCGTCCATCACACAGCAGCCATATTTTGTCAGCATCTTCTCGTAGAGCTTCCGTGCCCGAGTTTTAGCCGTCGATTGTTGCCGCTCATCGCGGTTTGGGAAGTTCTGTACCTTGTATGTATGTAGTCCAGCTCTCTTCTTTGCATTCTGGACGTAGCTCTGCGACATGCCGATCTTTTTAGCCAAATCACGGCTTGAGACGTTGGGATTTGCTTTAATCATCCGCTTCACCTTTCCCTCCGTCTTTTTGTTCTCCGGTCCCGGTTTTCTTCCAGCTCCTTTGCCGTGGTCCAACGTCAACCGCTCCTGGAACCGCTTCAACACTCTGGAGACGGTTGAATGGTGAATGTTCAACATTTTTCCCAACTGCCGGTGCGGCAGGTCAGGAAATTCCAGGTGTTTGGAAAGAATTTGTTCTCTCAACTCGCGTTGGTTCACCTCCATTTTCGTTGAATCGAAAAACACGACTTCGAGTTTGACAGCATGTACACAATACACATCAATGAGAAAGTGTGCAAAATTTGGTTGATTTTTACCCAATGGTAAAAAAGTTATGCCCTGTTGAATGTGTCGCAATAATTTCGTGTTCGCCCTTTAGATGGCATCTACTTGATGGCCATGGTCTACTTCACGAATGATGGACGAAGTGCACTTAACGAAGCTATTCCACGGTAGTTTGAAACAGTCCTTTTGCAGCCTTTCTTGCTCAAAAGACTTTCCAGCAAGCTGGGAAAACCCCAGTCATCAAGGAGAAATTTGAAAACGTTGGCTAGAGCAGTCAGGCAACGTTTGAGGACTAACGACGGTACGCCATCTGGACCGGAACCCGTTGAAGTTTTTAGCTGCCTCGCGGCTGAAATAACCATTTCGCTGGTGATAGAAAATGGATGGCTGGAGAAGGTTGAGGAAGAGACGTTACTAGACGCAGCAATTACATCCTGAGTGCTGAGTTGTTCGTTGATGAAAACACTGCTGATATGTGTGCGAAACAAGTCGGCAATACCCACGCCACGCCGTTCGTCATACTTGAGGGTAGGAGTAGTCCGCTTTCCTTTCTTTGGACATTCACATGGCGCCAAAAGCTCTTAGGATGTGATTTCAGACGACGCTGAAGCTAGTACAGCTAGTACTTGGCGTGCATGGTACAGTTGTTGAGTCGGTCGTAATCCGTGTTCGATTTAGAATAACATGCTTTCGTGGAATCGGTTCGGTGCTTACAAAGAGCAGCCCTTTTCAATTTTTCCAATCGCTCAAGCTCTGTATTCGACCAGGCACGTTTAACAGGCTCGCGACTGATTCGCTTAGGTACGAATTGATCGATTGCGTTCAAAAGAATGTTGAATGTCGTCGATGTGGCGAGGTTAGAATCACAGTCACGCAGTGCCTCTTCCCAGTCGACATTTGAGAGAAAATCATTCATTTCGCTGAAGTTGGCTTCGCCAAAGCTATAGAGCACGCCCTGTACAGTGTCTATGAAATTACGATGAACGTTGAGCCTACAGTTTTTAACACGCGCGGGGGCTGATATGATGGAACAATCAGTGCACATCTCCTCACTTACGAAACAGAGATCGAGCATGCGGTTGTTATGGTTTGGAATTCCATTCTTCTGTCCGAGTCTTGCAGTGCAATAGGCATCCAGCAAATTACATGATGCCTGACCAATCGATTAATGGGATTCACAAGGAAAGTGAAATCCACGAGCATTGCGTTTCCAGCAGACGTCGCGTAGATTGAAGTCTCCCAGGATGATTTGGTTGTCATTGGCGCCCATGTGCGAAACAATCCAATCGAGTGACACGATCACGAGTTTACACGATCCGAAGGAATGTACACCACGCAAATGTAGAGGGTAGAGTCACGAGAAGTAATTGACACCCACAATTGCTCAACAGATGAATTTTCAGGAGGTGATAGTAACCGTGAGTTGTAGCAGGAACGAAAGGCTAAAAGAACGGCTATTGGATGACGCCGGTCTTGGCGGAAAACGGTGTATGTACGGTCGAACAGCTGACATGATAATGTATTGCCATTGAGCCAAGTTTCGGTAAAAGCGTAGATATCGTAGCAGGCATCACTGCATGCCATACAGCGATGATCGATTATGAAATGACGGACTAGAACCAAGCGATGGAAAACGTATGAATTGTCAAGAGCGGGATCACCGTCATCAGGCCTGCGCACAAGACCGGGACGGCTGCAGATCGCTGGCAGGAATGGCTCGAATGTGGCGGGTGGATCGGGGGCTTCCGTAATGCCAGCGGTGGTGCGTCCCAGTAGGCAATCAGAAGTTGATAGTGGAAGCGTTGAAAAAGACGGAATGTTGGAAGTGATTGACGCATCAAGAATTGAAGTACTTAAATGAAAATTGTACTTGCCTGGATAAGCGGTTTGGAAGGACTCTTCACCAGTCCCAGACACAGGACCGAGACGGCTGCTGGTCGCTGGCTGGAAAAGCTGTGCTGGGGGGATTAGGGCCTTCCACGATGCCAGAAGTGTTGCGTCCCGGGGTTGAAGAGTAGGTGTAGTTATTGCTTGGCCGTAATTTACTCCATCATGTCGGTTTCCTCCTCCTCCGGATCTGGTCCGCTGGGAGAATCGACGTCCGATATAGGAGTGGCTTTTGGCGTACGATGAGGCTTCCAAAAATTTACTTTAGTATTGTCCTTAAATTCGCAGAATAGGACACCCTTGGGCCAGGTCGACGTTGAGAGGGCTCTTGACTTGAGGTCCGGGTTAAGTCCGATTTGGAAGGAAATGAACTTCATAGTATTTACATCCTTTCCTTTTACCACCAGACGGACAACCTCGACATCTCCGGTGCTAGGCGTTTCATTGCGAGATCTCGTACTTGACCGGTGGTGACATAACGAGAGATTCGTGACAAGTACAGCCAGAACTTTGGTTCCGGTGGTGGCGCGGTGAATTGACCAAGCGATGGCGATAAGGATCCACCTGTCCCGCAAATTCCCCGGTTCCCAGGCTCACCAACCCTCCAAAACGAACTATTAGAAAATTACATTTTGAAAGGCAGTTTAGTACAAGTTTAGTACATATATATTTTTTGTACTAAAAGATTGTGCTTTTCATTCCAAATTGCCGAAGACTCAAAATCACTCAAATGATTCGTTTTGGAGTTATTATTTTGTTCCGCTATTCCCTTAAGGATTTTAGCAGCAGTATTCACAGATTAAACTAATAATATATGGGAAAAGATCAATTTTTAATTTTTCCTTAGCATATATATGACGACCCAACATCATTTTTTTTTATTTTTAAATGAGACATAACTCCTTTATTGTATTGTTCATTGCTCATAAATCATTCATTTTTCATCATGTACCAAACCCGAGTAGCACACTTTCATCACAATAAGTGACAGCAACTTGTCTATGACTGAAATAAGTCGTATATAAGTTTCTACAATTGATTTGTGACAAGCGTGCTACTAGGGAATAACAAACAATGCTAGGATTGCGAGGGACCATCATGGCACCCGAATTAAGCGATTTGGACGGGGAGAGTGGGAATGTCAACTCCCTGTTGATAAGATTTCGTTGATAAAGGGCGGGCTCTTCTCCCCACTCATTGGAGCATCTTCCTGTTTGGGGGCTCGTCTTTTTGATCAATTGTGCGATCATGTTGCTGGATGGAGATTGTTTACTGTCCCGTAGATGCGGATAGGCGACTTTTCCTATCGATCGACCTGATCCGTTTTTAGCCTTTCATACAGCGACATGTTGAGGACAATCAGAGCTTGCTCAAGACAAACAAAGAAGAGAGCCCACTTCTATCGGACTTAGTTTCATAGTTAAGGTGATAAACCATTATCATCATTATCATCATCATCATCATCATTATTACATTTGTTCCACTACATTGCATTCCTAAACCACTATGCACCACGGGGTTCGTACTTTGAGTAACCCTTTGACTCACCCGAGAAGGGTAACAGTTGTGGGACAGTCGAGGGTTTTTACCTGGGAATTTCCAACCATACGATATGTCAACGTCAACGCCTACGTAAAACACTTAACACTGTCTTCCTTTCTTGTTTTCCCCACCTCACAGGCAGTGGTGCTCCCGCCACTGGCGAAATGGCCTTACGAGAATGGATTCACCTTCACCACTTGGTTCCGGTTGGATCCCATCAACTCAGTCAATATCGAACGCGAGAAGCCCTATCTGTATTGGTAAGTTTCGTTTCGGCGGCTTTTCTGCCCCGCATTTCCCAACCGTTCCTTCTCATCGCGTGCCCCTTCTCATTCCGAAACAGCTTCAAAACGTCCAAGGGCGTCGGCTATACGGCCCACTTCGTCGGCAACTGCCTCGTGCTGACGTCGATGAAGGTCAAGGGCAAGGGTTTCCAGCACTGCGTCAAGTACGAGTTTCAACCGCGCAAGTGGTACATGATCGCCATCGTGTACATCTACAACCGCTGGACCAAGAGTGAGATCAAGTGCCTGGTCAACGGTCAGCTCGCCTCCAGCACCGAGATGGCCTGGTTCGTTTCGACGAATGATGTAAGTAGCTTTCATTCGGATTTTGGGGACGTGTTTTGATTGGGGAAAAAATCTTCCTCGGCAGCCCTTCGACAAGTGCTACATCGGTGCCACGCCGGAACTGGACGAAGAGCGGGTATTCTGCGGCCAAATGGCCGCCATCTACCTGTTCAGCGAAGCCCTGACGACGCAGCAAATCTGCGCCATGCACCGGCTAGGTCCCGGCTATAAGGTAAGAAGTTGTGCTGAATTGTTCCTAATTCCGACGTACGTAATTCGAAATTGATTTGCTTTCCAGTCCCAGTTCCGGTTCGACAACGAGTGCTACCTAAACCTGCCGGACAACCACAAGCGGGTGAGTTTCGAGCCGGCCGCGATCGGAGGAGGCGGCGGCGCTGGTGGCGGTTCGTCCGCCGTAGCGTCTACCGCCCTATCGTCCCTCTCGCCGACGCCACCGGCTCCGATCGAATCCAACATCCATCGGAATTTGGTGGCCTCCGCCGCCGCCGCCACCGCTAGCGGTAGTAGTGGTAATGGGGCTAGTGCAGGCAGCGCTGCTGGAATTGCCGGTTCCAGCGGATTGGTTGCCGGAGGCGGAGGTGGCAGCGGCGGCGTCGTTTTGCTAGATGCTTCCGGCGAACCGTTTGAGTTTGGCTCCGTAAGCATGCTTTTTATGTTTTCCCCCTTTATTTTCGTTTAGTTAGTAAGTAATATACGTTTAAGTTAATCGTTATCCGTTGACCTCCTGTGCTGTCCCCGGGGGCTTGAAGAGAGAGGAAATCAGGTTGCAAATAAATACTTGTTAGCTTCTATGCGCGGCGTTTGTGTGTGTGTGTGTTTGTGCGAAAGATTTTGTAAGTAAAGTGTAAGGCGAATGTGAATGCGTTAAGATAGATGTGATTTTTTTGGTGGTCCCGCATGACGTTAGAATTTTGATTTTATGAAGTCATGATTTTGTTTTGATTAAGTTCCGAGTGGCAATAATCTCTTATTTAAAGAAATTGATAAAATTTGAAATTTGAACATGGAATCCCTATAATTTGGAAATTGGAATTTTTTTGTTAATTTAAGGAGCAGCTGGAAGTACTGAGTGCCGAATTGCGCCAGTCAACGTTTGTTAGTACCGGACAAAACAAGCGGACTTCGAATTCTCATCGACATGGAATGGACGCATCATTAGTAGTACCAGCGATCAGAAGAGATCGGATTTATGACCCAAAGTCTTCACTCTACAAGTTGTCAACGGTTCATCTATAACGCATAACTCAACACTGATTATTCATACTGGCTACATCTGAAATTCATAGAATTTTCCATAATTTCTCGGAACTTCTTGACAGTTCCTGCAATTAATTATTGGAACTGCTCTGAAGTTCTCTGATCCTCTTGCAGGTCATCGGAACATCCCAAAAAAATATTAAATTGCCTTAAAGTTCTCTAGGCTTCCCTGAAGATCTCAGAACTGAACTGTTCAGAAATTCCCTTAGTATTTAGTTAAGTTAATTTAATTGAAGTTTTCTAAATTTCCCAAGAGTTTCCAGGATTTCCCTAAAACTCCCGGAACTCTTAACGTTTCTCGAAATTATCCTGGAATTCATTGAGCAGTTGATAATTAATCTAAACTAACATTAACAGATCTTTGAACTTCCCCGAAATTCTGAACTTTCCTAAAGTTTTTGGGACTGCCCTCTTAGATCTCTGGACCTAGCTTGTCTGAGGTTGTGGGAATTCCTATAAAGTAACCACAATTTTCCTCAAGTTCTTTGAACTTTCCTGATGTTTTCATGACTTCCCGGATTTTTTTTTAGAATTTCTTAAAATTTCCCGTAGTTTTCTTTAAGCTGATGGAACCGACTTGAGGTTTTCGAAGCTTCCCTGAAAAGTTCTATAAACTTTCCTGTAGATCTCAGAACTAAGTTTTCTTAAATTCCCAGAGTATTTAGCTAAATTAATTGAACTGAAGTCTTTAGATGCAGACTTTCCCTGAAAATTTCTGGACTTCTGTAAAGTTTCCAAAATATGTTTGAAGTTCTGCAAAATATGTAAGCTTCCCGGAAATTCCCAGAACTATTAAAGTCTCCCGAGATTTTCCTGGAATTCATCGAGCTGCCCAGAATTAATCTAAACTAACATTGACAGATCTTTGAACTTCCCCGAAATTCTGAACTTTCCTTAAGTTTTTGGGACTGCCCTCTAAGATCTCTGGACCTAGCTTGTCTGAGGTTCTTGGAATTCCTATTAAGTATCCACAATTTTCGTCAAGTTCTTTGGACTTTTCTGAGGTTTTCATGACTTCCCTGATTTTTTTTAGAATTTCTTAAAAGTTCCCGTAGTTTTCTTTAAGCTGATGGAACCGACTGAGGTTCTCAAAGCTTCCCTGAAAAGTTCTCTAAATTTTCCTGTAGATCTACGAACTGAAGTTTTCGGAAATTCCCTGAGTATTTAGTTTAGTTAATTGAACTGAATTGAGCTTCATTGATCTTCTCTGATTTTTTCGACGCTGTAAAGTTCTTCATCTAAAGATTTTCCCTGAAAATTTCTGGACTTCTTTAAAGTTTCCAAAATATGTCTGAATATGGCAAAATATGTAACCTTCCCGGAAATTCCCAGAACTCTTAAAATTTCTCGAGATTTTCCTGTAATTCATCGAGCTGCCCAGAATTAATCGAAACTAACCTCCTCAAGTTTTTTTGGACTTCTCTGAAGTTTTCATGACTTCCCAGATTTTTCTTAGAACTTCTTAAATGTTCTTGCCAAATGGAACCGAATCTAAACTTCCCTGAAGATCTCAGAACTGAAGTTTTCGGAAATTCCCTGAGTATCTGGTTAATCTAATTGCACTGAACTGAGCTTCATTAATCTTCTCTGATGTTCTCGAAGCTACTCGGAAGTTCACGAAATTCTCATGAAGTTTTTCACCTGAAGATTTTCTCTGAAAATATCTGTAAAGTTCCCAAACGATGTATGAAGTTTTCGAAATTTTTCAGGAGTAGATAACTCCTTCTTAGAATAGCCCCAAAGTTCACGTTACTTCCCTTAAAATCATTTAGCTCGACTAAAATTTTGGCAATCTCTCCGTAAAGTTCCTGTAATTTTTTTCAATTTATTGGAACAGTTCTTGACATTTTCCTTTAATCTATGGAACTGCCCTGAAACATTCGGAACCTAATATTAATGACCTTAAAACTTCCCGTGGTTCTGGGCGTTCTTGAAGTTCTCAGAACTAGCCTGAAATCCAGATAGGACTTGAAATTCCCTGAAATTCCCAGAACTCTTAAAGTTTCTTGAAATTTTCCTGGAATTCATGGTGCTGTCCAGAATTTATCGGTACTAACCCTTACAGATCTATAAACTTCCCCAAAAATCTGCGCTTTCCTGAGGTTATTGGTCTCTGGGTCTCTGAGCTTGTCTGAAAATCTCTGGACCTAGCTCGTTTAAGGTTCTTGGAATTTCTATAAAGTATCTCAAGTTTTCCTTAAGTTCTTTGGACTACTCTGAAGTTTCCATAACTTCCCTGAATTACTTTGAACTTCTTAAAATTTCCCGCAGTTTCCTTGAAGCTGATGGAACCGCCTTGAAGTTCTCGAAGCTTCTCTGAAATTTCCGAAATTTCATATAAGCTCTCAGATCTTACCTTTCCTCAGTATTTGCTTTAATTCCTCGGAACTTCTTTAAAGTTCCAAAAATATGTGCGGACCATTCTAAAATTACTGAAACTGCCCTGAAGACCTCTTAACTTCCCGACGTTCTCTGTAGTTCCTGTAGTCCTGTGAAGTTTCCGAAATGTTTTTAAAGTTTTCTCAACTTCTGTGATATTCTCTGGAATATCTTTAATTTTTGGAACTTCTTGATATATCTCGCTATTTTCATGAATTTCATGGAACTGCCTTAAAGTCCTCGAAATGTATCTGAATTTCTCAGAACTTCCCTGAAGTTCCCCGAAATTTTCCTGAAATTCATGGAACTGCTTTGAATTTCTCAGAATAGCACCAAATTTTACGTTACTTCCCTTAAAATCTTTAAGCTCGACTAAAGTTTTGGCAATCTCTATAAAGTTCCTGCAATTTTCCTCAATTTATTGGAATTGTTACGTTCCTGCAATTTTCATCATTTATTGGAACAGTTCTTGACATTTTCCTGAAATCTATGGAACTGCCCTAAAACTTCCACGTGGTTCTGGACGTTCTTGAAGTTCTCAGAACTACCCTGAAGTTTTCGGAACTTCCTTGAAATTTTTGGAATTACCGAAAAAGTTCTCTATATTTCCCTGAAGATCTCAAAACAGAAGATTCCTAAAATACCCTGAGTATTTAGATAAGTTAACTGAACTGAACTGAGGTTCATTGATCTTCTCTAAAGTTCTCGAAGCTACCCGGAAGTTCGCGCAATTCTCACGAAGTTCTTAACCTGAAGATTTTTCCTGAACATTTCTGGGCTGTAAAGTTTTAGGAATTTACATGAAAGCTAAGAATTTCTTGGAGGTTCCCGCAATTTTCCTGCTATTAATCCCAAGTAACATTGGAAGCTGTATAGAGGTTTTATAGCATTATACAAGCCTAAACCATGGTCTACAGAACCTTCATAAAACTGAAATTGTTACCTGGGAATGGAACGAACATAAAGTCTTCAAAATGTCCCTGAAACTCTCGAAACTTCATTGACTATCCCGAAATTTTCCTTATGGTTTTCCCAAACTTCTTGAAGTATTCTGAACATTTTTCTCGGCACATATGTAAATGTCTTGCGTTTTAAAATTAATCGGAAGCTCCTGAACTTCTCAAAAAATGTCCTGAAGTTTTTGGAATTTCCCTAAAATTCTCAAATTTTTTTGGGTTTTCATGGAACTGTTCTGAAGTTCTCAGAACTTCCCGAAGCTCTTTGACTTTTTTTATAGATCTAGAACTTACCATTCTAGAAATTTATCTGAAGCTCTCAGAACTTCCCTGAAGTTCCCGAAATTTTCCTGACATTCATGTAACTGCTTTGAAGTTCTTAAAATAGCCCCAAAGTTTACGTTACTTCTCAAAATCGTCTGGAACCTCCACCGGAAACGTCTGTAACCTTCGTTGGCAGCTTCTGGAATGAAGTATGAATGAAGAAAATGTAGTCGTCTAGAGCCTCCTCTGTCGTTAACGCCTGGATGCTTCGTCGGCAACGTCTGGAATCTCTCCAAAATCGTCGGGAACCTTCATCTAGAACGTCTGGAACTTTCGTTGGCAGCTTCTGGAATCTCTGTTGAAGTCGTCTAGAACCTCCTCATTCAGGAACGTCTATAAATTCCGTTGCAATCGTCTCGAAACTTCTCCGTTGGGAACCTTTGAAACCTTTGTAGGGAACGTCAGGAAACTCCGTTGGCAGCTTCTGGAATCTCCGTTGAAGTCGTCTAGAACCTCCTCTGTCGTGAACGTTTGGAACCTTTGTCAGAAACCTTCGTCGGCATCGTCTGGAATCTCCGTTGATATTGTTTAGAATCTCCTTTGTTGAGAACGACTGAAAACTCCATCGGGAACGTCTGGAATCTTCTCAAAATCGTCTGGAACGTCCATCGGAAACGTCTGGAACCTTCGTTGGCAGCTTCTGGAATGAAGTATGAATGAAGGAAGTGAAGTCGCCTAGAATCTCCTCTGTCATTAACGCCTGGATCCTTCATTGGCAACGGCTAGAATCTCCTCAAAATCGTCTGAAACCTTCATCGGGAACGTCGGGAACCTTCGTTGACATCTTCTGGGATCTCCGTTGATGTTGTCTAGAACCTTCTTTGTCGTGAACGACTGACACCTCCGTCGAAAACGTCTGGAACCTTCATCGGAAACGTCTGGAACCTTTGTTGGCAGCTTGTGGAATTACCGATGAAGTCGTCTAGAACCTCCTCTGTCGTTAACGCTTGGATCCTTCATCGGCAACGGCTAGAGTCTCCTCAAAATCGTCTGGAACCTCCATCTGGAATGTCCGGAACCTTCGTTGGCTGCTTCTGGAATATTCATTGAAGTCGTCTAAAACCTCCTCTGTCGTGAACGCTTGGAACCTTCGTTGGTAGGTTCTGGAATCTCCGTTGAAGTAGTTTAGAACCTCCTTTGTCGTGAACGTCTGGAACCTTTGTCGGAAACCTTCGTCGGCATCTTCTGGAATCTCCGTTAATGTTGTCTAGAACCTCCTTTGTTCTGAACGACTGAAACCTCCATCGGAAACGTCTGGAATCTTCTCAAAATCGTCTGGAACCTCCATCGGAAACGTCTGGAAACTTCGTTGGCAGCTTTTGGAACTACCGATGAAGCCGTCTAGAACCTCCTCTGTCGTTAACGGCTGGATCCTTCGTCGGCAAAGTCTGGAATCTCTTCAAAATCGTCCGAAACCTCCATCGGAAACGTCTGGAACCTTCGTTGGCAGCTTCTGGAATCTCCGTTGAAGTCGTCTAGAACCTCCTAATTCAGGAACGTTTATAAATTCCGTTGAAATCATCTCGAAACTCCTCCGTTGATTACCTTTGAAACCTTTGTAGGGAACGTCAGGAAACTCCGTGCAGAACGTTTGAAATCATCTGGAAACTTATCCACTGGGAACATCTGGAACCTTCGTAGTGAACGTCTAGAAACTCCTTCAGGAACATCTAGAATATGTGTTGAAATCGTCTGGCACCTTCTCCGTCGGGAAAGTCTGTAATCTTCGTTGGCAACATCTGCAATCTTCGTCGAGATTTCGTGGAATTTCCTGTGTCGTAAATGTCAGGAAACTCCGTCGAAATCGTCTGGAACCTTCATTCGAGGTAACAGGAATCTCTGTTGAAGTCGCTTGGAATCTTCATTAGAAATATCTGGAATCTCCGTCGAAATCTTCTGGTACCTTCTCAGTCGGGAACGTTTGAAACGTTCGTTAGCAGCATCTGAAATTTCTGTTGCAATCGTCTGTAACCTTTACTGGAACGTCTGGAAAGTTCGTCGAAAACATCTAGCCTATCCGTTGAAATCGTCTGGAACCTCCCCCATCCGGAACGTCTGAAACCTTTCTAAGAATCGTCAGTAAACTCCGTTTAGATCGTCTGGAATATCCATCGGAATCGTCCGGAAGCTTCTCCGTCAAGAACATCTGGAGTCATCGTCGACAATATCTGGAATGTACATTGAAATAATCTGGATCCTCCGTCGAAATCGTCTGGAACCTGTTCCGGTGGCAGCGTCTGCAACCTCCGGCGTCTATAACCTCCTCCGTTGAAATCGTCTGGAACCTACGTTGAATTCGTCTCGAGCCTTCTTTTTCAGCATCTGGAATCTCCGATGAAGTTATCTAGAATCTCCTCCGACGGAAACAACATCTGGAATTCCCGCTGAAATCGTCTGGCACCTCCTCCGTCCGGAACGTTTGAAATCTTCGTTGGCAACATCTGGAAGCTCCGTTGGCATCGTGTAATTTCCGCTACCATAAACGACAGGAAACTCCATCGGGAATATCTGGGATCTCCGACGAAATCGTCTCTGGAATGTGACAGCATCTGGAACCTCCTTCGGCGGGAACGTCTGGAATCTCTGTCGGAATCGTTTGGAATTTTCGTAGAAATCTTCTGGAATTTCCTCCTTCAGGAACGTTTATAAACTCCGTTGGGAGCGACTCGAAACTCCTCTGTTGGGAGTATCTAAAACCTTTGTACGAAACGTCAGGAAAAACCGTGCAGAACGTCTGCAATTTCCGTCGAAGTCGTTCGAAAGCTTCTTGGTCGGGAACATCTAGGGCCTTCGTTGAGAATATCTGGAATCTACGTTGAGATCGTCTGGAACTTCCTCTTTCGAAATCGTCTGGAACTTACTCTTTCGAAATCTTTTGGAACCTTCGTTGGCAGCATCTGGAATCTCCGTTGAATTCGTCTAGAACCTCCTCCTCTGTTGGAAACGTCTGGAACCTTCGTTGGCAGCGGCTAGAAAAAAAAATAAGACACGAGTTAATCTGAAATTTTAGGAATTCTGACTCCGAATTCCCTTGAAATTGGAAATAGAAATTTCGTCCAGTGTGCCACCATTAAATTATCCCCCTCTTAAGTATATTAGCATCTAGTTGACAATACTACCGAGAATGATCTATGTACGTGTGTGTGTGTGCGTGTGTGCGTGTTCGTGAATGTCATAATATGTAAACAACTCAAATTCAACACCACTAACGCCATCTGCCACCCAAACGCCACCGTAGGTCCTCTACGACGGAAAGCTGTCCAGTGCAATCGTATTCATGTACAATCCCGTCGCAACCGATGGCCAACTGTGTCTACAATCAGCCCCCAAGGGCAATCTGTCCTTCTTTGTGCATACGCCCCATTCGCTCATGCTGCAGGTAAGTTGCTCGCTTTTTCCCTTAACACCCAAGAAGATTAACGAAAAATGTTTGCCAATTTCAGGACGTGAAAGCAGTGGTCACCCATTCGATTCACTGTACGCTCAATTCGATCGGTGGAATTCAAGTCCTGTTTCCGCTGTTCTCCCAGCTCGACATGCCCTACGAGGGCACCGACGTCAAAAAGGATCCAACGCTTTGGTAAGTTTGTTGGCTAAATGGTAAATCAAACGATTCTAACCGTCGCTTTTCCTCCAGTGCCAAGCTGCTTGGGTTCATCTGCGAACTGGTCGAGAGCTCGCAGACCGTTCAACAGCACATGATTCAGGTAAGAATAAGCCCCTCCCCCCACAAAATGAGTCGTCTGATTTTACATCTTCGACAGAACCGTGGATTCCTGGTGATTTCCTTCATGCTACAACGCTCGTCCCGGGATCATCTGACCTCGGAGGTGCTCGGATCGTTCCTCAGCCTGACCAAGTATCTGGTGACCTGCCTGTCCGCCAACTCGGACCTCCTGCTGAAACAGGTTCGTATCGCTTTATGCAGTCTAGCATTTTATGCAGTATGGTCCGCGCGCGTTCGCCCCTCCCCCCCTTCTGGAGTAGAGAGTTCTCTGATTGAAGAAGCAGCACCTACCGGATGATCCGCTAGGGATTTAGGAAGCCCCCCTTCACTATAGCGAAGCGTCGAAGCTCAAACACCCACACACCCGTCTCGTGCACGCGCGCAACAGGTCCACTACACTGAAACGAAAGAATTGTGCACATTTTTGGCTTGAACTAGATATCGCTCGGTGACAGATACACACACACATACCATCGCATTTGCACTAGCGCACTAATAACTGTAAATAGTTGTTCGGCCTTGGCAGAAGAGCAGTTCCACGCCAACGGACGAAGCGATTTTGTTTTGGACCTCTTCGAATTTTAGGAAAAATCCGCACAATTGTTCACTAGATTGGTGCTGGAATTTAGGAATTTTGACCAACGACTAATTTTTCAAAATGTCGTATTTGTTGTGTTTTTATTTTTTAATAAGTCATAGCACAAAAACGGCTCATCTAATAGAAATGACATGTGAGGAAAAGTTGTAGGAAAGTTGATTGTCTTTTCAGAAAAAAAAAATACACACTGAAAAAAAAATCTAAAATGTTCGTCGAAAGTGAGCAAAAACTGGTTAAGAACTTCAATAGCCAAAAATAAAAGAAATTATTAGGAATTTTAAAATTTGAATTTTATAAATAAATTTTGAAAATAATTTTAAAAGCTTAAAGCTTTTGAAACTTTTCTGAGATGGACATAGTTTTTAGTCCAGAAAATCGTTTCCTGTGTAAAAAATTACATAAATATTGTATGAAAATTGTTTTATTGAACTTCTCAGATCAAAGTTAGCATTTTTGATAATTGAAAGTTTAAAAATCTTAAAAATGTACTTTGTTAGTTATTGCAGTTTTTATTTTTTTTATTTTTCGATGAAAGTTGTTATTTATTTTCAGTGTGTCAGTCTGAGACGTCATTTCGATTAAATGGCCCATTTTCGTAATTCATGATTAAATGACCAAATTCCAGCACAAACTTGGTTCACTGCCCCTAGCGAACAATTATGCTCGTAATTATGCAAAGCTTGATGGAATTCTGAGAGGTAAAATCAAAAAATTGTTTGATTTTTCGCTATTTGGCCTGGAACTGTTCAGTACAAAACAGTTTCGCTTTCGTCGTAGAAGAAAACAAGGGGACAGCGCAATCGAGCTCAATTATCCATGTGTGTGTGTGTGCGCGCAAGCTTTTGGTACCAGAAACAGCGAACCAGATGAAAACACGTAGGGATGCTCATCGGTATGAGCAGACAACCCCTTGAGCATTCCTATGAGGGGAAACGAAATAAGGAAAGCACAGTCGATGGCGCCGCCTCCCCCCCCCCCCCCTCATTCACCCTGCTTTGTCTGAAAGTAATTGTTTTTTTTTTCGTTGTTATCATCGAGGATGAATGCCTTGGGAATGGGGGATGGCGGTGCTGTGCTCGGGATCGGATCGGATCAGATTCATTGGAACGGAAATGTTTCTTGAGACACCGTAACCTCTGGGAATCTGTGATTTGGTTTTGTTCTACTTGGTATTTTCTGTTTCGTTTGGTTATTCTTTTTTTTTTGTTTCCATACTCAGTTGCCTGAAGAAAGTATTTAGTCGCTTTTTGCGTGGGACGATGGATTTCGGTGGATGGTCTGGACTTAATTGGTGGTGTTTCCCTTTTTCCGGGTTGTGAACAAAAGGAACTACATTGTTGGTAGTCAGTTCAAGTTGACGGACGACTGGGTGATTGAGGCTTTTCTTCTTCTTTGAATAGGGAAGTGCTCTATTGGGAAGTGGAATTGCTGAATTTAGTAGATTTTCAGGCAAGTGAAGTCGTCCAATATTGACAATTGAATGAAAGTAGCATCGTAAGAAATTACCGCGATATTTTGAAGACAAGATTTTAAATTTACAATATCCACTTTAGCGGAAGGTCGGAAAGACCCTGGAAGTGTGTGATAGGGTCAGAAGAACATCAAAGGAATATTTTGAAAATCTTTCATTTTTACGGGCATTTTGGTGGCTTTAAAGTTAATTTGGCGTTTATAAGGCCTTTTTGAACTTGATTTACTGATGTCTTGTAAGGCCGTTTTAACGTTGTAAGGCTATTTTGACTTTATTTTTAAACTAGTTTGGTGTTAACAAGACCATTGCGCTGATAGTAAAGCTATTTTGGCGTCCAACCTGGTGATTAAAACGCGATTTATGAGCATAACCATGAGCATAATTGACCGCCCGAGGATGCAACTCCGTTATTGCCAGATCATCAGTAATTACACAGAGAAAAATTAGACGTTGCTTGGTACTAGCAATCACCCTCAATGTGTAAATACTGGCGATCTGAAACTAGGTAATACCAGCACTGGCCACGTCGGAATGCTGGTCAAGCAATGGGTAGGAATTTGTTGACGTAATACTGAAGGCCGAGAACACCTCTGCACTTCCACGTGATATCACTGGGATGTTGGATAAAAGGGTTGGGATTGCAGTAGGATTCGTTTTGGTAAACTATATGCTGAATTGATGTCCTAAAAATTCAATAGGGCGAGGAGCTTGGGTCTAAACCCACGGTCTTCTGCTCAGTAAGCAAAGTCGGTTACCCCTAGGCCACCGCGCTCCTTATATCACAAAACATTCTGGCATCACTGTTTTATGCTGTACTTGTGTTTTTGTTTTGACCTGAATTAAATCTGTTTTCTCATCGCTGCAAACGTGCCCGTAATTGCCGAAAGCTGCTCCGCAACGTCAACTAGCGTAATCTACCCCACTTGCACCTGTTTTCCATCAAATCTAGCCAGGTAGGGTAAAAGAATTTTGAGAGATTCTGAGTTGGCTTGAGAGTGGTTAGAGACAATAAATCGCCACCACCGTCTTCACTCACATCTCCCACCTCGCCGCTCTCTACCTGTGCAACTTAGCACATGAACAATACGCCACCTCCCTGCCGAAGTTCACGCTGACTATACCGTATACCTACCAAATCTGTCTGTACGTGGAAAGCGAAATAAAGTACCTATGATGATCATTCACACCATTTGAACGACAAGAAACAATATTCCAGCATTCCAAATTGGTTGACGCTCAATTTCATCAACATTGCAACATCATCAAACCTCGATCGAGTGCGCTGTTTTTTTCTTTCTTTGCTGTGTCCTGAATGTTGGACGGCTCAGACCGATCACGGTCCACCTCGCCACTCTTGTTGTCTTGTTTGTAGATTATATGGTTGCTTCGGTTAATTGTGTGTTGTCGCTTGTGATTCATAAACGTATTTTTGTTTGTTTGATGAATGAGACTACTTCTTTTAGTTCGAGCTCATTGTTTTCCTTCAGAATGATGTTCAGTGGTTTGCAGTACTCCAGTACAGTGTACTCGGATCTCTCGATATTGGTTTTTTGTGCAGTGGTAGAGCAAGTGTTCTAGATCTTCTTTTTCGTCGCATAGGTCACAGTTGTCGTCTTCTTCCCAACCCCATTTGTATCTTCTTTCTTTGGTGTTGGTGTGTCCTGTCCTTATCCGGTTCAGGATGATGATTTCTTCGGAGTTAAGATCTAGTCCTTGAAACCAAATCTTTTGTCCTGGTTCTTCCATAAACCCAAAATGCCAGGTGCCTTTTTCTGTTGATGTGATCTGGTATTCCGATTTCCAGTCTTCCCATGTATCAGTTTTTCCAAGATTGATTGCGTCCGCGAGGGTCAGTGTGATGAATGTTGTTTGTGGACCGTGTGTAGCTTGAACGGCTTCTTGGTCAGCTTTTTCATTTCCTGGGATGCCCTGGTGGCTGGGTATCCACTGAAGGATGATCTTGATGCCCTTGCTGTCCTGGAGCGATTTTGTGATTTCCCATGCAAGGTAATTCTCTATCGTCTTCGTCTTGTTGCGTATGGTCTGGCAGGCTCCACGGGAATCAGTGAAGATAACAGCTTTCTGATATCGTTTCTTCTTGGCGATTTCGATGGCAATGAGTACCGCCAGCAGTTCTGCATTGGTGATTGAAAAATTGGGGTTGACCTTCTCTGTAACAATTTGTTGGTCTGTGTAGTCTACAACTGCTAGGGCTGTGCCCGTTGCCGTCTTCGAGGCGTCCGTGTAGATGTGGTTGAAATCTTGGTAGTGCTGGTTTTTGGCTTCCAGAAATTTTTTTCTCCAGAATTCTTGACTGTAGCCTTTCTTCTTGTTTTGCTCTTCGAAGAGCTTCTCTTTGATATTTCTAGCAACGTTGAAGTCTGAGTACTTTCTTCTGTCCTGGAAAGCCATGTTGGGATCCTTAGGATGCATTTGGCAAACGATATAGTTGTGTTTTGCGGCCGTTTCCGAGAGGAACGATCCGTTGCCCGGGGTGTCTTCGATTGCTTTCACGATGAACGGCTGAAGCTGCCTGCCATGGAAGGAGTTTTTCAGGATTTCCTTGAGGGTGAGCCAGTCCCTACGAATATCCAGTGGCAGCTGCCCAGTTTCTGCGTGAATGACATGGATGGGTGTGGTCTTGAGGAGACGCATTGCTATCCGGAGCTAGGAGTTCTGAACAGTCTGTAGTTTTTGCAGGTTGGATTTGGCTGCGTTGCCATAAATGTGGGCTCCGTATTCCAATCTGCTTCTTATTATGGCATTTCCGACCTTAACTAGAGTATTCGGATTGGCGTTGCTGTTTCTCTTTCCTAGCATTTTAATAATTCCCAGTTTTGCCCCAGCTTTTTCTCGAACATCCTCGATGTGTTTTCTGTGCGAGAGGCTCCTATCTAAGGTGTACCCCAGATACCGATGGGTGTTGTTTAGCTTTACATTTTCCTGACCTATTTTTACTCTCACTCCCCTCGTGTCCTTTCTTGTGAAGGCAATTGCTGCGCACTTGGCTACATTGATCCTGAGGTCCAGGGACTCAAGGCCGAGACAGAGTTTGGAGAGGTAGGTGTTGGCTTTCTCGGAAGCTTCTTCAGGGTTGCTTGCTACAACTATC